AGGTCATYGACSTTTTTATCGCACTGTGTCATATTCGAGTACCTACCTATACTGATGAAAATATAACCTAGCTCCTAAGTGGTCAACTTTTGACGAATTGTCAGATCCCTAGCGCGTCTATTTGTTTAAAATTTACTTAATTATCATAATAATGTTTTTCCGTTCATGAGACTTAATATATTTTTGGCTAGTACATTTATGTATATACTACATATACAATAATTATATTTACCTCGTCATATACTTTTTGGAGGAAAGTTTGCGTTGTTGACGTTTTTAAATTTATATATTCTCCGCCATTATTATTAAAAGAATTTCTTCACGATCTGTTTAACTTTAATACATAATTTACTCTACGAATTTGTTTTTTAATTTTTCGTATTTAACACTATATCTAATGAGCACTATGTTTGGTTATTATTATTCAATGTAGGAACTATTGTTTCTGAATTCTTAAAAAATAATTCGCATTAACATAATATTTCACTATCGATTCCTTTAAAAATAATTATTACTGTGTAATTTTATATTTTTGTAATTATATAGATTAATTCCGTTTTGAGCTTATAATATATATTATACATTGTATTAGGTACAATGTAAGATTAATGAGTGAAGTTTTTTTCTTTTACTCCTCAGACATTGATTGATTATTTTATACTTAATAGTTTTTGTAAGCTAATTTTAAATAATTGTACTTTTACCATAAAACGCATATATCATAAAAATTGATTTTGTTTTTTTTTTATGAAACCAAAGTAATTTGTTATGAGGTTAGAAACTTGTTATATTTTATTTGATCTATTATAATCATTATTCGGTTCACTAAAATTTTTTTGGAAAGTGGTTTATTTTATTCGGTTTAAAAATATATATTTTAAACATGCTTCAACGGAGCCTTATAAACTTATTTGTCGAGATACAGGAAAGCCTGGGTTTTATTATTGTTTGATAAGTTTTATTATTTACATGAATAAAATATGCCTTATATTAGTTGTATATTAAACGAATTTGAATGAAAATTGGCTCGGATATATTTCAACGCATTCAAAGGTATTATAGTATTTCTGTACAAATTAAGGTAAAATTATATATTACTTATACATAATTATATATTTTATGAACAGTTATAAACTTATAAATATATTAAAACTTAAAAATATATATATTTAKAATAWGTACAGTGAGAGTTTTTACTGAGGAGAGGGGGAGGGGTTGGAATGGTTAATTACATATTTAGAGAGACAGACCCACCAATGTTCTTGAATTAGAAAGTGTACGACTTATACAAGTGATTATTCAAAAAGTTTGTCATAACTTTTTTTAAATCAATACAAAAACTTAAAAAGCGAGACTTTTCAATTGGTAAAACTGTTTTACGCGTGTCTAATGAAACAGCTAAGTATGTACGACTGTACGAGTATAGCTGTAATTCTAGGGATACTATTTAGGTAATTGAAAATTGTTTTTTTGTTTTTTATAAGTTCAAGGATAAAAAAATATAATCATTTAATAGTTAAACGATTTTATGAAAAATACTCTTTTATAGTTAGTAATATATTATCATACAAATTCAATTTTGTTGTTGCTTAATWAAGTATTAAAGTACGTCAAATGTTTTCTTGGTAAATCTTATCGATTGACATAATTTTGTATTAAATAAAACTATAAAGCTCTCAAAGTTTTATACTGCCTTAAAAGAAAAAAAATCAACCAAGGCACTAAATCGGAAAAATACCCTATTTGACATTCTGGAGATTACCTACCTTTGGAAAAAAATCACATTTATATCGACTGCACATGAATATTGGCATATATACCATATTATGTTTTTTTTTATATCCACATTTTGACATATGCATTTGCCCCGAACCCGCCCCTGGTGTACACCGCGTGTATAYGTATGTATAGAAGTGAAGCCAATAATAAATCGGAGTACGCCACAGAATAGATATTAAATTCCTCTAGATTATAGCTCCTGTGGTAGAAAACTACTGCCGCCCGCACACTTTGTCTTCCCCCCTCTATTATATATATATATTATATTACATATATATAATAGTGCATGAAGAGACGTGGTCACCGGGATTCGTATGTTACCCTTCCACCTATCTTTTCATCATTCCTCAACATGACACGGACATTTCCCAGCTTACTAATCTTCCAGCGGGTCGGCACGTGAGCCCGTTTTCCCCTGTGGCCCCTGGTATTTACGTACACACACCTCCTATTATACTTAGACCGTCATGTATATAGGTTGGTTAATAGTTTGTTGTTTGGACACGACTTGCGAGGAATCATATATTTTTTCAGCGTGGGACATATTATATATAGCTGGGATCGATAGAGGTAGTTATGTAGGTACGAAAGTGACCGTGTTGATTGACGACGTGGATTTGTCGGAAATTAAATTGTACGTACTACATGTATGTACTATTGTGTGTATAATATATATATATCAATTACTTCCGTGTTGTCGTTTTTTCGTGAGAGGAGTTATCCGACTGCGATAATAGTTTTGGCAGCTTAACGGCTGGGTTTATCCACTATATGGTTCTAAAATACTATAGATATGCATCACTGCAGCCGCGTTGACGATCCTGCGGAAAATAAGTCTATAAAGACCGTGTGTTTGTCATATTTTATTTTATTCTAAACTAAAAAACACCTGTGAAATGTGATGAATAAATAATTATAGTTACCTAAGGAAAGTTTTGGATTTTATTTCAAACATAGTAAGACGTCGGATAATTAAGTGCACGAGGTTTATAATATTTTTATATAATCTTGTATAAGAAAACTAATTTGATATAAAAATGTTATTAATAGTATAATACGATACATACCTGAAAGCATTGTGGACTCTAAAATGTACAACAGATTATTTAAATGGTAAATTCTATAGRGTATATACCAGTAACATACATATTGTCATATATAGGTAATTAAAGTTATATTAACTGGTTAATTTGAATAATTTAATTATACTTAGATTAAACTAAATTGTCTTAATTTCTATTAGTTCATTAAAAATATTAGTCCATTAACAAATTTAAATGATAGTTTTCATAAAAAATAATTGCTCAATTCATAATATTAATTGCGCAGCTATAATAAAATTATAATATAAAGTGATCATTATATAAACACAACCCAAACTCACCGAAATACTATATATATTATAAAGTAATAGGTAGTACTTATATATAACTGAGTCAAGGCTTTATGATATTTTTTTCTTTTGCGAATTTTATAATATTAATTAACTTTAGCAAGTTTGATTAGTTAATTACTAAAATAATAGGTAACTTACACTATTATATTAAACTTTTGGCTCTAACAGAATAACATTAAAACTGTTTTTAAAGATTAGAGTTATAATATAATAGTTATTAGTTATAGTTTTGTATACTAACTATAACTCTAAGCATATTTCATGCTATAATTATATAGTATGTTATAAATATTATAAAGTTTTGAATACATTTGTAAGAAATGATTGAAGAGAAAATTAAAACTATAATTACTTAAATACCTAACTTGATTATTTCTATAAAAATTATGATTTACTGAAATAGAGTTTTGTTTTATTTTATATTTTYTTGACACATTATTCGGTATAATATGTAAATACCCGTATGAGAATTAAAACATATAACTATAGTATAGATAAGTGAAAGTATGTAGTTTCAGCTATTGTAATTTGTAAAGCATGCTAAATTGTTTTAACAGCAAAACTATTGATTATAAAGTATTCATTAAGTGTTTTGTTTTAATCATTTGAAAGCAATTGTCTCGGYATTATATGGGTGTTTGATTATTACCTACCTACCTAGTACCTAAATTAAGTATTCACTTTGTTCATATAATTKAATTTTTAAAATAACACGTCAAGTTTATTGCCTACCTGTATAACCAATTCATTTAATATATAAATTTCAAAATGGTTTGTTTCTATCAACTATTGGATCAACAAACAACATAATATAGTGTATATTATATTGCTAGTAAAGTCGTTTAAATACAAAAGTTATACCTACTTGGGAAACACATTATTACGAAAGCTGAACAGTGAAATATTTTATTCATTGAATGTTATTTGTTTCAAACTCAATCTTAATTCTATTAAATATAAAATTAATCGATTATTGAAAGTATAATAATGTCCTACGTCTCTGATGATTCGGCAGGATACTTGTATAAACCGTTCGTTATGACAAAAAACTATCCATTCAAAATATTAAATATAAACGACAGTTTTCTAATGGAGTCTGAAACTAGTTTCGATATCCTCCGCATGTTATATTATACTTATTAGTGGGGGACATAATATTGTGATACTCCTTAAAAGGGAATATTTAAAAGAYGAACGGTGCATTCTTTGTATGATACAAAAATCACGCGGGCATCGGAGAAACTATGCTGATTTTAAAATCAATAGTTACGTGGGAATTTTTTTTTTTATTCGCATCCAATATTATTATTTATAATATAATATATTGTAAACACCATACAAGTCTTTTAAGTTCTAACGCTTCCCCGCGAATGTCTTATTACTACATAATGGTCTATGGTTTAAGAACTTACAGTTCTTCTTTGTTTGTTCAATAACAATTTAAAATATTTAAGCAGCATGAAACGTTGCACTCGCCACTCGTTGCGGCTRCTAAACAGAAATTGGCTTGACTGTGTTTTATGCGCGTATGCGTATAATATAATGTAYATACTAAATACTAATAATTTCACTCAAAATTTGATTTAAAACATTAGAAATAATTATATAAAATGGGTACCTACTCGTGARTATTAAAAGTTGAATGATTGTTTTTAAAATATACTCATAAATTTCGAAAGTGTTTTTAYTTGAAAATACGGTTGACACCGTACTTTTATGGATCGATTAATCTAATACATGTTAAATAATAGCAATAATACGATGTTGGACACCTGTTAAAATGTGTTACTAATGACGCGGGACGAATATATTTGCCAAATTGCAGGTTTGTCGGTGGCTGAATACATAGTCAACGGGTCATGTTTTGGCCGACCGTGTTGGCGTTGTTGCAGTTGGCCGCGGACGGACGGACAGACGAATTTGTTCTCGGCTACTTGACAGGTTCGAGAAGACGGGCCGGCGACATCGCTTACCCGAAACCCGGTCGCACGATCAGCGGTGCAATATCGTTGGCCGTCGAAGAGATAAACGCGGGATCGTTTAAAGACAAAGGTACGGTATAAATATTATTTATTGATCAATAGTGGGATGGAAAAAACTGTTGATATAACAGCTAACGAATAAACTTTCAAAGTTTTTGGGGCTTAACCCCACTCCWCCTCGGTGATTATTGTTATAAGTACGTTAAAMGTTATGCTTGAAGAATATTGTTCTACAATCTGAAGTAGGTAGATGGTTAATTACCTACTCGTATAACCTGTTCTGTTCGCCAATTTATCAACTTACATCAATGTACTCTTCAAACTGTGTACAAATGCCGATCGTCGAACGCGTTTCTATCGAAAATCGTTAGTGTACCTATTAATAATTCATTGAACTTTTATAAAATTGCTTTTTTTAAATTTTATTATATGTCCGTGAGTATAACTCTGCCGTTTTTATAAGTTAAGTGTAAGTAGTAGTAGTAGTAGTAGTGGTAGTAGTAGTAGTAGTATAGTATAGTAGTTACAGATATGTATAGTTAATTTTAAATGTCACATTGTGTTTTTCAACAAAACTATGTCCGTCAGTCAACGTCGCGTTGTTTTTTTATTTTAACGAGTGACGCACATCCATGAAAAATTAGCATTGCATTTTTATCTCGCTATTTACATTTTTTGTTTTTAAAATTAAAATACTTTAGTTATTTCTAAATACTMCTAGTTTGATTGAAAATAAATGATTTATATATTCTAAAGAGCCGTACCGACATAAAACGCATTTTATGTTATATCTAAAAGTTAAAAAGCCTACGTAATATAAATTATAATATAAATATAAATATATTTTTAAGCTAATGCTAACATTTTACTTTGAATAGTTTAATCAATATATATAATATATACAATGTATATATATATATATATATATATATATATATAATACATGCATATATATGTTTTGGTTTAAATATTAGATTTGCATAATATAGTTAAACATACCATAATTATTTACCTTCAATTTTTTACGCCCACGAGTACAAATGAAGACATTTTAATTAATTCTGGGAAGAACATTTAATTTATTATTAATTTTCAGAAGAGCAGAATAATAATATTCTGATTAATTCAGGTTGTATAAAATATAAAACTATTTTATGCTTGTGTAATTGAACATATTACTTAACGACCGCGGCATAATTTATTATTAGTTAAACTGTTGTACGAATGATTAAAAAAAATAGGTAATAATAATTATACATAAGATTATGTTTTTGGATAATCATCCAGTTATTAATTGATTTGTCAGAAAAATAAAAACAACCATCTGCAAATTGTAATAACCGTATAGTATAAGTCCATATTTCGAAGTAATTGTCCAGGGCTGCCATTCCAAAATTCGTTGTCCCTTTTTACTCAGAAGCACGATTTAAGATAGTTAATAGTACCATTCTATCCAAAGCCATGCTCAGAAGTTAACAAATAATAATATTGAATTTGCATGGTAGTTATTTGTTATACTATGGTTGTACCAATATAAAGGTATTCATTCCATGAAATCGATTTCATGGAGTAGTTAGTTTTAGAAATATTCGAATTTATTTCTTTGTTGCAGCAAGCCCTCCATTTTAGCCYATATAGTAAAATAAAGAAGAAATCGTATATTTCGTAAATCTAGTTGAAGATAGTTATAGTAACATTAATCTATGTTTTAGCCATTTTAGTTTATTTTGAAGAATAGTATATTGTGGATAATATTCGTAATAACTATTTACATTAAATCAGTACACTATGCGCATATAAAATTAATACTATTACCTACATTGTGAGTTTTTTTTGTTTTATCTATATCTGAAAACCTTTGCAAAACTTTTTATTCGGTTGAAGATGAATAAAGTTTTTGGACATTTTGTTTCGGAATAAAGCTATGTTCCGCCTCGTAAAATCGAACCAGTAAGTTTGAATTRCGTCTACATTAGTTATATTGTATAAAATATTATCGATATTAATGCATCTTTGACATTGTTTAATTGTTGAGTTTGTTAGTACGAGCRAATAACTAAAATTTAAATTGTGTTGATTTTCTTTAATCTAATGATACATTTAGATTAGGTRCTTAAGTCTTTTTTTCATGTTGATCGTTATAAGTTTATGGATTTAAGAAACTTGTATGTTATACCTATAACCGTAGTTTCAAACATGTAACGTCTGATAATGTATCTTAAAAACGTGAGCCAATAACCTTAGTTGTTGAGGCTTTAAAAAAAAAAAAAAACATGTCACCGTATATATAAATAAATAAAAGTTGTTTTTCGTTTTACTTTTCAGTTTTAATACTGATTACTGACGGTATAAATTGCAAACAAATAACAAAAATCATACTTGATTTTGTATTTTATTCCTTCATACTATACATAAAAGTGGTTTTATGAATATATAATAATATCTACCTTTACGTATTGGAAAACATAAATATCGCATGGTTCAAAAGGCTTTATTGAAAAAAAAAAAAACATAAATTTGCTCATAATAAATGCGCGAGACGTATTTTATCATTTCATCCGCCATTGAAAAAAATTAGGTTTATCGTGACATGTTGATGGTTCACAAATTAAAAACTTATTCATCCAGTTCGTTTTGCATATTTTTGTTCATTTTTATCATAATTTCTATTTTATCTTACTTTTATGTTTATTTAACAGGTCATTCGTTAAGTTTTCTGGTATCCGAAACGTATGGGGAAGAGTCGACTAGTATACTTGAAACAGCAGAATTGTGGAAAAAAAATATCTCTGCCTTCATTGGACCACAAGAGACCTGTCTACACGAAGCTAGAATGGCCGCAGCCTTCAATCTGCCGATGATTTCCTATGTGAGTCAGTAAAAAAAATATTATTTAATTTAAATACTCACCTTTAGCAATAGTCTATCGATAAGGCATATTATACTCTGTATAAATTATTATTTCTATTAGATGACAATTATTTTTGGCAGGAAAGGGTATAATTTTATGTATGATAACTGAATGAAGCAGTTTTATGAAGTGTTGATTTTAGATTCTGAGCGGAGCGAGGAATGTATTGATTGTACAATGATGTGTCTTTTCTTTTGTATTATTTTTCTTTTTGTGTCTGTCATCACGTTTTGAGGCMGTAAAAGTGCTTCGATTTTTGACTTCAATACCTCGTTCGATCAGAAAGTGAATCTAGTTGGTACTTTGTGGAGTCAAAAGTAAAAAATTCTCAATATTTTTCCAAATAATTGGGATAAACAAACTAAAAAATAAGGGAAAAATGGGAAATTTTACGCACAATCAGTTTTCGACAAAATCGATTTGT